GGCCCAGTCAACAGGGGAAGACCCTGTCTCAAAAACCAAACCAAGACAAAACAAACAAAAAAGAATTCCCAAAAGAGAGTAACATTATTAGCTATGGAGCAAAAGTAGATTAGGAAGATGTGATTCTAAAGAGGTATTATTAAATTCATACTGATAATAATAGTAATGATAATAACATAAATATCACCTGTATTGAACAGGTGCTAGGTGCTGCTCTAAGATTGTGTGCCAATCATAAACTAATCCCCAAATTAGAACCTCAGAATTTCTCATTTTAACTCTATCTGTACAAAGTACTTATTCTTTTTTGAATTTTAGAATTTATAGTCTTTTTTAGGATAAAGAACTCCAGAACTTAAATTTCTTATATTTCCTAGAATGCTTAGCAGTGGTATTTGCTTTCCACTAAATACCAAATAAATATTTACTTGATTTAGTAATGATATCTGTTACATATGTAAAAATCTCAGCACTTTTCAAATAAAGAATTTCTAATTCTAACCACTGTTATCCTACATTGTTCTTCTGAATTAGCTTAGAAAATATTGGGATGGTTTGGGAAAAATGTAAAGTAAGTAAAATTCCTGATGCCACTGGCTTACTTGGTGTGCTAAGAAAGTTTTCAGTGACTAATAGTTTTTCTGGTTCTTAAAAGCTGCTTGTAGATTAAGCCACGTGCATGAAAGACTGTGGTATGTGCTGGTAATGCTCAGATTAAACAGGGTTTGCTTTCTGGAGGATTGCCGCAAAATCCATAGCCATTATACCACTAGTTATCTTTTATGTCCTTGTTAAATTGCTAATGATTTGCTTGAGTGGTTAATGGAAGAACACAGATCCCATGTCTAAAACAGTTTGGGAATATAAATATAAGGGTAAATAAGTCTGTTTTCACTGCAGACTTAAACACTAATGTGTCCAGTGAGTCACCAATAGCATGTAAGGTTTCCCATATCTGGCCGTAGAACCTTCTTCCTTGTAACATTTGACATCTTGCGATAGAATACAATTTGAAAACAGTGGGGTATTCAGGTTGTGAAGATGCAGAAAGCATACCTACTATTTTCCAGTTATTATTTTGGAAAGCAAAAGAAAAAGTTTTGTGGGGCAATGTCTGTTAAGGTGAATACAAAAATCCCATAAGGCCACTTGTTACCATTTAATGTTAGATGAGTGAGATCGGAGCAAATAAGCTGAAGGTCTTAATTTTTCTTTTTATTGTTTGGGATTCATTGATGGTACAAAGAATTAAGTTACACTGATTGCATTTGTTAGATAAAGACCCTCCCCCAAGAGATGTGCCATACATCGTGACCTCCCAACCCCCTCCCTCTCCCCCCCCATTTCCTTACCCCCTTTTGCTCATCTACTTCTTTCACATTAAAATAGAGTCCATTGGATTCTTGCTTCTCCATTCTTGTGATGCTTTACTAAGAAGAATGTGTTGCACCGCCATACAGGTTAATACAAAAGATGTAAAAAAGATGTCTCTATCTTTTTTAAAGGCTAAATACATATGCCATAGCTTGTTAATCCATGTCTGGGCTGGGGGGCAGTTAACGTTATTTCCACATTTTGGCGACTGTAAATTGAGATGTGACAAACAGCCTAGTGCAGATGCCCTTATGATAAAAAAATTTTTTTTTCAGTGTGGCACCTGTGGCTCACTGAGTAGGATGTTGGCCCCATATACTGAGGGTGGCGGATTCAAACCCTGCCTCGGCCAATTTGCAACAACAACAAAAAAATAGCCAGGCATTGTGGCAGGCGCTTATAGTCCCAGCTTCTCAGGAGGCTGAGGCAAGAGAATTGCCTAAGCCCAGGAGCTGGAGGTTGCTGTGAGCTGTGATGCCACAACACTCTACTGAGGGTGACAAAGTAAGACTCTGTCTCTAAAATATATATGTGTGTATATATATATACATATATATATATATATATTTTTCCCCCTTTCTGGGTAGATGCCTAGTAATGGGATTGCAGAATCAAATGGTAGATCTAATTTGAGTTCTTTGAGGATTCTCCATACTTCTTTCCAAAAAGGTTGTATTAGTTTGCAGTCCCACCAGCACCATAAAAGTGTTCCCTTCTCTCCACATCTACACCAGCATCTGCAGCTTTGAGACTTTGTGATGTGGGCCATTCTCAGTAGGGTTAGGTGACATCTCAGGATAGTTTTGATTTTCATTTCTCTGATGATTAGGGATGATGAGTATTTTTTCATGTTTGTTAGCCATTTGTCTGTCTTCTTTAGAGAAGGTTCTATTCATGTCTCTTGCCCAGAGATATATGGGATTGCTGGGTCTTTTTTGTTGATTAATTTGAGTTCTCTATAGATCCTAGTTATCAAGCTTTTTTCTGATTCACAATATGCAAATATCTTTTCCCATTCTGAAGTATGTCTGTTTGCTTTGATTGTTGTTTCCTTAGCTGTACAAAAGCTTTTCAGTTTAATTAAGTACCATTTGTTTATATTTGTTGTTGTTTTGCCATGGAAATCTTCTTCATAAAATCTTTGCCTAGGCTGATATCTTTGAGTGTTTTCCCCACACGTTCTTCAAGGATTTGTATTGTTTTATGCCTTAGATCCCGTATACTGAGGGTGGTGGGTTCCACCCTTTTGTCCATCTTGAATCAGTTTCGTAAGTTGTGAAGGGTCCAGTTTCAGTCTTCTTCATGTAGTTTTCCTGTTCTCCCAACACCATTTATTGAATAGGGATTCTTTTCCTCAGTGTATGTTCCTGTTTGGTTTATCAAGGATGGGTGGCTATAAGATGTTAGTTTGATCTCATGGTTTTCTATTTGGTTCTAAATGTCAATGTTTCTATTTTGGTGCCAATACCATGCTGTTTTGATCACTATGGCCTTGTAGTATAGCTGAAAGTCTGGTAGGGTGATACCCTGACTTTGTTTTTATTACCAAGAATTGCCTTGGCTATACGTGGTTTCTTCTGGTTCTATACAAAACAAAGAATTATTTTTTCCTAATCTTGAAAGTATGATGATGGTTTTTTAATGGGAGTTGCATTGAATCTGTAGATTGCTTTGTGAAATGTAGACATTTAGGCAATGTTAATTCTTTCCAGCCATGAGCTTGGTATGTTCTTCCATTTGTTAATATCTTCTATTATTTCTTTTTTTAGAGTTTTTCTTTGTAGAGGTCCTTCACCTCCTTTGTTATGCATATTCCTAAGTATTTCATTTTTTTTGAAGCTAATTGAAGGGAAGTGAAGGGAATTGTTTAGCTTCTTATCTTGGCCATTAAGGCAGTAGATGATTTGTGGAAGTTGATTTTATATCCCGAGACATAGAAAGTCTTAATTTAATAGAAAATTATGCTTTAGATCACTGTTTCATTGTTGAAGTGTTCACCTTCCCACAGCCCAAGACAGGAAGTCTCCAAATTCCCGAGCCTGCACATTTTCCAAATGGCATTATCTCTGTGATGGCATCTTTCATTGTTCCACAATACACATCCCTCCTTGCAGGCAAACTAAACCCCTTGCCATTTTCTGAATATACACATGCTTTCTGCATTATTCCTTTCATTCTACCTTTTTCTTTTGTCTAGAATACCATCTATTTATCTCCCCTTGTTGGAGATGAACCATCTGTTAATTTGATATGTATTTATGTAGATCTACTTATTTTAAGGAACAAGTTTTATACTGGTAGCTTTAGAGAAATGTTCTCCTAGAATATTTTCCTTGTCCTTTGGTTGGACATAAACCCTACCTGCTTTTAGCTACCTCAGAAGCCACAGAATAGTCTCCTTGCCTCCCTGACGTACTAGTTAACTATGTGCTTGTCCTTTACCTCCTGCTACACTAAGTGTATTGCAAGCAAGAGCTGGGCTTCCTTTGTAACACTGGTAGAGCTCCAAGTCCCTACTTGGTATTCAAGAATCTGTCAAGGTGAATGGAATGCATAGGCACCCCTATGAATATAATTAGTACACCCAGAGACACAAAGCCTGGTTCTCAGGCTCTGCTAACCAAACATGTTTGCTGTGATTCCTTAGGAATTCTACCAGTACTGACAGGCAGGATTTTCCAGGCAGCACTTATCAGCTCTATCCGGCGGAATGGGCTTGCTTGTTGAGAGCAGACCTCATCTAGAGTCAAAGAGTGACATGGCTGATACCGTGCATTCCCCCTTCACTCTCGCTCCCAGTGTAGTCACAAAGCAAATGTGAAAGGGAGAAATAAGTCGACTTCACTAAACTGACAGTGTAGTTGCCTTTTATTAAACAAGTACTATCAAAACCAAATTGAAAGCTAAGTCATTACATTTACTTTGAAAAGTAATTTTCCAAATGCACACATTTTGCTTGAATATCATTAGCTAAATTGTGTACTTTGACTGAAGGGTCTTGAGCATACTTTACTCCCAGTCCCTTTTCAGGTGTCCTCAGCATACATTTTGGATAACGTGTGTGCATCGCATTACGATAGTTTGACCCGTCTGTGTTTAGAGGGTGTTCTCAGCATTTCACCTGAGGGACTTGTGCCCATTGTACCTTTCCAAATGTTCTTTTTGGCCTTCTGAAATGAACAAATTAAAACAAAAACAAAAACAAATCAGCAGGTAAAAGGTAGATTTCTCTGTGTTTTTGATGCCAATCTTTTATTGCTTTTCCTTTAAGTAGAATCGGAATTTGGACGATAAATAATGAGGGAGTAAAACTTGAACATTTTCCTCCCAGGCACCACCTTAGTCATTTGATAGCCACAGAAGACCATGAGAACTAAAGTTGAACACTGATCCATCACTTTACACTAATCACCACTGGTTTGCTTTTTTATGCCTTACATTTTATCTTGTAAGAAGGAAAGTGATAAATGATTAAACTTGATTTGCAAAAAGTAATCTTAATAGTAACACTGCTTGCTGTCAGAAGCCGTACGTAACCTATGTCGATGAGCTCACATGAGCGCCCTTTCCAGCTTGTTTAGTCCGTCTTTTTTCTCCTTCATTTAAATTTTTTTTTCTTTCCACAGGCAAAGATAAGATTAAAGTATCTGAAGATGAATTGAATAAACTCCTTCTAGTTAAATGGTGTGTTTTGGAAACCATTCGTTTAAGAGCCCCCGGTGTCATTACTAGAAAAGTGATAAAGCCAATTAAAATTTTGGTAAGCTTCGATTTTGTTTCAACATAATCAACCTGTTAGGGTAAAAACACATATTTTGCTTAAATATATATAATATGTGTGTGTGTGTATATACATATATACACACACACACATATATATGTATACACACATATATATTGAAGATTGGTATATTGTTTTTATTTGTACATAGTTTATTTTGTGACAAGTAAATAACATGTATTTATTTTGTACAACAAGTTTTGAAATATGTATACATT